CAATTAAAGTAATTTATTGTGTTCTTCCAGAATGGACATAAAGAGCATCTCGGGGGGTGATATCACAACACAATGTCATACACCGTTTTCACAACTAGCCTTGCGTTGAATTTTTTTTTTTTTAAAGAACATAGTAATTTTTAAAAATCTAAATATTTACATATTAATAAAACATATATACAGAAGATTGAGATATTTTTCATAGATATGGAACTTTTTTTTTGGCTAAGAAAGCCTATGAAAAGGATTTCTGAATAAAGTCCGAACAGTAGTCACGGTAAGTAAACACAAATACAATTCTAATTTACACGCTATGACTTCACTCTCGCAGTTTTATGATACGTATTTCCCAGTGGGAGCTCCGCCGCACATACCTGTGAGCAGAACAGCCCCTACCCCCTCAGTGGTGAAAACCCCAAGCTGTCACCCAGCCTTGGAAGAAAGTGCTTCAAAGTTTCCTGGTGTGTGTTTAAGAGATGCCACAGTTGTAAGGTGAATGTTTCTACCTTTATTAGCAACATATGCATCTTATTTTAATAGAGTTGAAAGGTCACTAATTAATCTTTTCAATTCCCTTGAGAAATATTCCCTTGAGAAATATTTCTGAGAGGCAGCAGACAACTTTTAAAATCTATGTTGCAGAGAAACGAAAGCCCTGGTTCACAGTACTCCATCGGACATTGGATGAGCAGAGGGACTGGTTTCAGGGAAGGGAGAACGAGCTGGCCTCAAACGCGAAAGGCTAACTGAGGATGTGATGGCAATAATCGCTCTGAATCTCCCTGGTAGCTTCGAAAAGACGACAAATCGAAACGCACGCATGTATGAGCTGTAGCTGTCTAGCAATTGGATGGATTCCACAAGCCACACCTAGAACAAGCTTTGTCACCTAACAGGGATGCCTCCTGTCACCTCTGGTTGACAAGCTGGTCCTCAGTGGAAAACTGATTATCCGGAGCTCCTGTCCTAGCTCAGGCTTAGCTGTTCAGTGTGATGTGGCACAAGTCCCTCGGACAGGGGAGTGAGGCCTCTAGGTGCTAGGCCTGGCTGGGACGCTGGCGGGTTACCTGGCCCTGGGCAACCATGAACCTCACTCTTCAGCTGCCTCACCTGCAGACAATAACTCTGAGCTCTAACGCTCTGTGACTCAATAAAGTGCGTGCTAGGGAAATGCGATAAACAGTACACAGCAATTTTCCCCTTGGGGCCTGGTGTTTCTAGTCCAATTTCTTTTAAGCTAAATTTTAGCCTTTGGGTCAAGTGCCAAAGATTCGAGGTAATTTCTGCCTAATGCGATAAATGAGGTATAAATGCATTGTTTCTAAATAAAATAGTATTTTAAATTTACTATCTTATTAGAAAAAGGAATCCAGACGTAAATATTTCTGTAAAACAAATACTCGCATGGCATGACATCTCTTTAAAAATAAATCCAGATGTTCATTTGTTGGTTTTATATTAAGTGGAGTGTAAGTGTACTAGGAACCAAATAAAATACAAAAAAATGAAATACATTTGTGGTTGGTTGCCACACGATGCCAAAAACACGGAACCACTCAGTGAAAACCATCTGCTAAAAATAGTTGTTAGGTAATCATGCAGATAACTGGTTACTCTGAGTTGCTCACCTTTTAATGAGTCATTTTGTCACTCTGTCAACACCACCTACGTGAAGGGTTTTTCTTTCCTAAGAATTCATACATCGTTTGTACCTATTCAGGTACAAATGGTGATTTTGGGGGGAATTGATGTCACAAATGATTTCATCAAATAGATCAGAACTATCCTGTCTCCCAAAGCATCTTCTTAATCTTTTAAGCTGATGAAGGTCTGATTAATTTTGGCCTTCAGAACTGTTCCCTCACTCCTGGAAGGAGCCATTCTCCTTTATGTTGCATCTAAGTGATTAAAGTTAAAATAAATATGCTCCAAAACTCCATATATTCACATTGAGGTTATAAAACAAAACAAAACAAAACAAAACAAAAAAACAGAGAAGAGAGAGCTGCTTCTTTTTAATGGAGAATGGACTCACTGGATCAGAGAGAGCGGCTTCTTTTTAATGGAGAATGGACTCACTGGATCAGACGTTGGACTTAAAAGGTGATAAATCAACTCTAAAAATGATTTAAAAAAATCTTACACCAAATTGGAGGCTTGATCATCACAGATTACAAAGGTAGTATATGAAAACTGTTCAAACAGGACGGGTAAACTTCACAGAACACCCATACTTTGCAGTAACCTGGAATGCTAACGCCAGTCTTTGAGGAAATTCAGACAGAAGAGGTGCGTGTGCAAATGAACATTGTCACTAAGTGAAAGTCTAGGCAGTGAAATCTGGCTCTGTGTCTTCCGTGTTTTCTCTCCTGGTGTCAAATATATTACCTACAACAGAGACAAGAAAATGAAGGGGACTCCTTCGCTAAAGGGGAGCTGCACACTTGGCTACGACATAGTTAGAGGTAGATGCTTTGCACTGGTGAAGAACACCGTTGGTGAGATCACCAGTTGTCAGCCAGGGCTTGAGTTGTGCTCTGTGAGCAATTTCAGCCATTAGAAATTTGTAATGCTTTTTACAGGAAAACCCGAGAATGTGTGCTACCGTTAGAGTATGTCCATATTTTATCCAGTAATAGAAAATGGCTAAGTATAATGTGATTTACCATGCAGCTATTAAAATAATGTGTACGAAAAATTGTAATAAACTGGAAAATGCTTGTTAGGTTAAAAAAACAACTCGGGAAATAAAATTTTATATATTTGCTCTCCATTGTGTAAATCAAATAAATATAGAGAAAAGTCTGGGGGAAAAAACACCCAACAATGGTTGTCTCTGGGTGGTAAAATTAATTCACATTTTCTTCCTTACACTTTATTAAATTTTTAAAAGTATGTCAAAGAATGCCAATTTATGACAAGAAATGCTAAGCCCAGATGAGCTCTGCAGTACTCCATTTCAAATTCAAAAGCCTCCTTATTAAATTTTAGACAGCATGGTTACGATTTTACTTTCTCTATACTTCCCGCCTCCCCGCCCCCGCAAATCGTTCCCAAATCCTGGGTGGGTCTCCATCGCTATCGGAGTGCTCTCTGCACCGCAGCGCCCGCCCGCAGCCTCTGCCCGTCGCCCTGGCCGGGCGCTCTCGGAGGGCGGGCGCTTGTTCACCAGAACCTAAGACAGTGCTGATTCCTGGGAGCCTCGCTCAACCGCGCTCACTGACGGGGTCGAGGGAAACGGAGTTAAGAAAATGTGCGAATCTATTTTTGTGAAAACTAAACACGTAGAAGTTCGCTTAGATGTAAAGGATTGAAACCAATGTCGTTTGACGGCCAGACCCTAACTCTGACCTGCTCGATTCTGGGTCATAGAAACAGAAAGGGTTCACACCTCTCCCCTACTCTTGCACACGAATTTGGAAGGAAAAAAGACCTTAAAAAGCTAATAAAGGCATTGTAAAATCTTTAAAAAGGACCAACGGTTGCCAGCTTAAACGCAGTAAGGATGGTCTGGCTAGTGAGTCTCCAATCCCAGGATGAAACTCTTTCTGCAAGACAGGTGGGGTCCTCCTCAAATTGTCTCCTTGGGACGCAGGCGAGAAGGGAGGGATTAGTGGTGGCCTTGTGTTCAGAGAAGCCACCAGACTGGGGTTTTACTTCAGCGGCAATCAAGAGCCAGGCTAGTCTAATCGACATCATTTCATTTTATTACTGCAAAATTTGGGTGCCAATCTGTGGTTTCTTTCCCCCTTTTCTAAATGATAAACCGCATTATTTATCATGCTGTTTAGTAATTTGTATCAGATATCAGCGGTCTGGTGAGAAGACCTGCAGGGGTGGCCCTGTGCTGTGCTCGTTAGGACCTCCGCCTTGGGCCGCACTGAGAGAGAATCCCAGGAGCTATCACTTCCGTGGACTTCGGGGGGACTTGCGACCGACATGCTAACGGAGACTGCGAGACACTGAAACGGAACCCTAAGGGGATTAGCACAGCCATCGACTCAGGATCTTTAAGAAACATGCAGAGAAAAGCTGGCTTTGGCTTTGGCTTAGGTATGAGAGAGCTACGCGCTGTACTGGCCGAGGGTGGAGAGGCCTGGGCTCTGGCCAGGCCATCAACCAGCTGTGAGACCTTGAGAAAGTCATTTAGTGTTTCTGGGCCTCAGGCTTTTTTACCTGTAAAATAAAAGGACTGGATAAAAAGAAGGAATGGGACTAGATGATCTCTAACGTTCCTTCTTTCCTAGATTCCTCAAAATTCTTTTCAGTTCCAGGAGGTTGTTCTACTCCATCCCACACCAGCCCCGCCTCCCACCCGCCCCCTGTATGCAATTTTCTCTTCTGAAGCCTCTCTTTGCCTCCATCTTCAGATGGGAAAATGCAAAGGGGGACTGTTTTCAAGTAATAATAACTTTAAAAAGCCCACTGTGTCGGATGACAGTGAGGACGGGTGGTGCAAATGCCCGGGGCCCCGGGCTGGGGGAGGAACCGTGGGTAGCACAGGCAGAGCAGCACGGGGGGCCCTCCCCGAAGGGCACCAGTTCGTTACTGTTTGTCGTGTTTCACACTGCTACTTGGAGCGGGCTGGGGTGATAAGAACACGGCTAACATGAGTTGTCTGCTATTTGGAGAGGGACAGGATGGGAAGGAACAATAGAGATCATGCATTTCAATTCTCTTGATTCATAAATGTGGGAACACAGCCAAACAAGTAGTGAAATCCCTTTTACATAATGACTGTATACGGTAAGAACTTGATATAAGCAGGCCCTTTTTGTACTGTGCGACTCATTTCATTTATTTATCCATCGATCTGTTGCTTAGTTACTCAGTGACAGAAAACGCTGTATCATTTACACAGGTGAGCTTTCTCATTGCTCTGAAGTTCAGTAACATATATTCATCCCACACCTGTGAATTCTGCTTTGGTTGCCATCTCAGAGTACGTGCTACCGATGAATACAAGACCTAGTAGAGTGCCCACACAGAGAGCTACTCCATTCATATGTGCTGAATTGCATTTAAAACTTATCAGCCTAAATCTAGAGAAAACACTGAGTTGAGCTTTTTCACTTAGAGAGTTTTGAGGGCATTGGGGTTTTGTGGGCAGGGAATCTTCAGGGATTCTCTTGAGATCAGTCAGTAAAGAGTCCTGGGGCCAACGGAGGGAATAAATTGTTCGCCACATGCTCACTGAGCAGACACCTGTCCCTCAGGCTCTCAGGTATGAACCGATGCAGAGGCACGAGGCCAGGGCCAGAAGTATCACTTGAGAGTCAAATAACGTGAAGTCAGAATTATGTCTATGGCTTAACATTGTAGCAGACGCTTCAGTGAAATGTTGCATTTGGCCAGTCTGGTTATGACATTAGCATTGTGCCACCCATGCTAGATAGATTGGCTTAGTCACTCAGTTAAAACAGTACTCGCGAGGTGCCCATTCTATGAAGAGCAATGACTGACTGCCTCTCAAGGCCCTTTGGGGGAAGTGGGGGAGGACAGAATGGACATGAATTTCATCATAAAATTGGTGATGCCTGTTCTAAAAAGAAATGTCATTTCCTGTTAAAATATTTTTTAATGTCCAAAGGTTTTGGGAGGCAACATGTTGTGACACTAAGTTCTTAGGACTCGCTGTTCTGAGATTTTGAAGAATATAAAACAGAGTGTGAGAAAAATGTAACTTTTCACATTTAATGTGAAAAATATCTGCACGTAGAGCATTGAGAACTTTTGATTACTAGGGTCTGGGTCTGTTATAGACGCATTTTGCTTGAGCATCTGCATCTCTAATGTTAAAAACATTTTCAATGCAAATATTTTCATGTGCTGTATTTTCCAGCGGGTGATGAAAATGCAAATGTGTTTACCTGTTGGTGGTAGAGAAATGCCGTCCAGTCTTTCATCACCGTCAGCTACCTCTGCTGGTTACAAACATAAAACACAAATCTCATTAGTTTCAGGGAGCACATCCACTCTACCGAATACAGTCGTACAATTTAAAAACTCCAGTATACATAATAGTTTTCATCTTTCTTTTCCCTTTTCAGCTCTAGTCGGTTCACATTACAAATTTTAGTACCATTTTTTAAATAAAATATTTTTAAAGATGATGACAAAATCAATCCTGTATTAAAAATTATTTCTACCTTAAAACTTTATTCTATCAATCACTGATTATTACAGTTCATTTTCACTTATTTATATAGGCTTAAATATCTGGCCAGAATTTCGGGTGAATTGTTTAAATATGATCATGGAGGTCAGTGAATTCCTATGGTAGAATTTTGCTGGTCATCCCCAGAACCATTTCTGTGGCGCAGGCTTAGGAAATCTCAAGAATGAATCTTTCTTTGGAGATGACTAGAAATCCAGATTCTAGAGCTGTTAATATAAGTTGGCATCAATTCAGTCATAGAGAAAATCAGAAGGAATAAGCATTTCTTCAAAAGATTTGTCATGTCTATCTTTAAAGTGCAAACCTTTGCTCATCTCTGGTATGTTTCAATTTCCTTAAGAGCTATCCAAAGGTAGAGCCTTCTGTCACAGGAAACCATGCACTCAATATGTAAAAGAAGGTACTATATGTCTCCTGAGAACTGAGGGGCTTGTCAGTCTCCCTAGCATGCTGTGGACAGGTCAGAACATTTCATTGTGGCCATGCAGATCATTTTGGTGGTGCTCCTATGTCCCGGGGCTAGTGGCCCCGTGGGAAGGTTCCTGTCTGCGTGCGGGCGAGGCCAGTCGAGTGAGGGCTGCCATTTGCGCCACGCTGAAACGCTCCGTTGGTGGGATGTGAGGGAATGCTATGTCCTTGTTTCTATTGCTGTTGCTTTAAACACAATCAGGGTCCAAAAGTTTCCACTCTGGTTCACCCTCTCACATCTCGTCCTCAGACTGCTACACACTGACATCAGAGAAAGACCCACTGTCTGCCGACCTGCTCGGCCCACCACAGAGAGGAAACACCGAGGACGGGCAGAAGAGTCAAGACCGATTCTGGTTGAAGAGTAGAAACCACTAAAAGTGATGTTGTAGATGAATATTTAATAACAAAACATTCAAGTCAATCAATAAGATAAATGGCGAGAATAAAATTTTGGAAATAGGTTCATAGACGAAATATAGGACATACTAAAATGCTAACACTGTTTTTTCCTGGATGAAAGGCTTATAGGTATTTAAAACTTTGTCCTTTAGGTTTTAAAAATTATTCTGTATATTTAAAAAACAACGAACATGTTATTTTTATATTTAGAAGACATAATTTTCTTCCAATTGGCTTGAGTGACTTTGAATAGGTAAGATGAACTACGCAGTAGTTCTTTCATTGTCTAGGATTTAAAAAATTCTTCAATAATGATAATAGCAATGCTAGCCATCACCATTTGTGAATGCTTATCGTTTACTGAGTACTTCACATGCATTGTGGCATCTAATCCTTAGAAAACCCCGCAAGGTAGGTCCGTTGTTATGCTCATTTTAACAAATGAGAAACTGAGAAATAGGTTTAAAAATTTTCCTAAAGTAGTGTATAGCTCCTAAATGACACTGCCAAAGATTTGAATCAGGCAAATGCCTGGCCTCTTAATCTCTTTGCTATTAATAGTCCAAACACATATCACACGTATCACTATGAGCTAATTTTTAAGTATTCAAGTTTTAGTTCATTTTATACTTCATAACTGCCTTCACTTTACATATACAATTGCTTTTATTTAGTTATAACAAAAATTGGTTGATCTTCCCTTTGTAATTCAGTTATCCTCACTTTAAAAACAGGCCAGTGCAATTACTTGTTTTAGAAAGAACAGTATATATACAACCAAAAATATACATATAAATTAGCATATGCTAGCTGTATGAACAGGGCCCAGCCCAGCATCGTAGATGAAGAACATGACTGTGCTACTCAAATTCAATCATAACATCTCTCTGTAACAACAAGCTCACAATCTTTCTTCCCCAGTGACAGTCAAGTTGTGAAATTTGGAAAAGATTGAGCAAGTCCAATAAAAATTTAATAGCAGTGACAGCTTTACTCTTAGATCCAACGCATACACAAAATTGCAATTTCAGCTCTGAGGAAATAATCTAATGGAAATGACAAAAATCCACACCAGGAAGGGAATCCTTCCAGTTACAGAAAAAAATGATTACATGTGATGAGAGCCCCAAATGAATTTCTAGTTACATGCATATAACAACCTTTCAGATCTGCACGGGGCACCTCCTTTTTCTAGAGGCTTCCTTAACCAGTGAGTTAATTAGCCTGCCCAGGTGGAGTCTGTACCTAATTCCAGGAATTGAGCCAAATATGATAAACGAGGTTGAAATTGTGGAATATCTCTGAGATACTGTTCATGTTATCATTTTGAACGAAGATAATCAAGACAAAAAGCAGGAGAGCAAGCAAGATTCCTGAGACTTCTCTCAGTTCCTATCAGCATAACAATGGGAATACCAGCGGCAGCTACCGTTTGCTGGGATCCCACTTTTGTGCCCCTTGAGGAGAATGAAGTCTAACAGGATGTGACAAAATTAGGAGACAGAAACTGTTTGGCAGATCACTGCTGATGTGCTGTCATTCCGGTCTGCTTTGATCTGTATGTCACGGTCGGTTTTGTCTTGTAGGCACCTTCCCCTTCTCAGATGCTCGCAGAACCTGCTAGCGAGGCAGAAAAGTGCCAAGGGGCCGATCCCAAACATCTAGGCAGGTAATCTAAGCCCAGTGGTGAAAATGTCCAAAATCAAGTATGATGACAACTACAGCACGGGGCAGATGGCGTTCTGAGCACGCGTGAGGCTCCCCCCGCACCCGCCGCCGCCGAAGGGGTCAGGTCCCATCCATAGAAACGGGCGCGCGCGTGTGGGAGTGCGCATGCGTCGTGTGAATTACTAATACAGATGCTGAGCCGGTTAAGAAACGTGTCCACTGGCCAGTCTGTGCGTGGGAAGGAGAAAGGGGAATGCAGAGGAAAGCCCCCACTGTGTGCACGTGTGTTTGTTGTGAGGAAGAAGGGACGGGAATGGAGACCAGAACTCATAATAACTGGTCTCAGCATCTGAAATAGGAGAAAAAAATAAAAAATAAAAAAAGGCGCGTTGATGTATAAAACGTGTAGTATGGGGAAACAAATTTTAAACCAAACTTCCTATTTCAGTCACGTGGCCTAGTGCCAGGAAGGCTCTTTCTGTGTCTGTGAGAAGAGGCCTCTCCAGCACACTCAGCAGACACTCGACTGTCTTCTCCCCACTTTCTGTCTTCTACCGTTAAGGGACACCCCTCAGACTTCGCCTTCCCAGGTCGCTCGTGATCATCTCCTGAGCCAGAGGCGCATGCTCTGCGCACAAAGCCCTCTCCTTCCTCCTCCCGGGTCGTCTGGATTTGCCGTTCTTTCCCCTCAGGCTCGCAGGGAGCTCCGGCGTTTCTCACACTTTCCACGTACTCACCACCCCCTGGTGAAGCAGGAGGGGACCCCGCATGCTTCTGTGCACTCTGACTGGGGGCATTTGCCAGCCCGCTTCAGGCGAGCAGCTGGTGGCACGGGCAGGACTGGCGAGTAGAGAACCAAAGGGTGTCAGGGCGGCTGGATCTTGGGCTACTTTGGCCCTTGGCCTTTCCTTTGGGCTGAGTATTAAATTTAGGTCTCTTCACTATGATACATTTTAGATCTTTCTCTCAAACCTGAATATTATATTTAGCATCTTTTTTGGGGGGTGGGGAGGCGGGGAGCAGTCAACAGTTTCTCCCTGCAAATCAATAGGCAAATGGAAGTTCTCACGTAACCAAACGGTCAGATTGCCAAGGGAGAATTGAGGCAACACGAGATCAACTTAATACTAGCACAGGCCACTCAGGCTTCACGCTGGAGTCTGGGTATAAAGCTGAGGAACCGCAGCTCGCAATATGACATCAGTGCTCGGTAAGGGGTTAATTGCTGTGTGAACCAACTGGGCAATAGTCAAAGGATAACACCTGTCACTCAACTGTAAAAAAATGTTTTTTCACCCCAACCCTGTCCTGCAGCCTGAAATCTAAAGGGGCTAAAGTAATAAAAGGCACCTTTGTGAGGAGACTCAAGGCTGAGGCAGGAGACCTTTGGTGTAAGAAGGAGCTAAGAGACCCACTGGCTAGAGTGACTTGTCCCAGGAGTTACTCAGTTAACCTGCCCTGCATGACATCAGGCGCCATGAAACAAGCCTCTGAGCCTTTGGAAGAGGGACGGAGAAGAGAGGAAATTGGGAAGGGGACGAAGGAGATGGGGCAGGGGCAGAGAAGGAAGTAAAAAAAGGGCTTGAGGAGGAGGAAGGAATGGCGCCCTGGGGCCACCCTGCAGCCACAGGTAGACGCGGGAGCCCTAAGGACCTTGTCCCCGAGGGCAGAGCTCAGGGACATTGCTGCCCTGTGGGTTCTGGGATAAGTATTTGAAGCTCAGGAAAGGAACTGATGGACTATTCTCCAGGGTCTCACATAGCCTAGATGGGCTAAGCAATAAGACATCTTCGTTGTGGACCACTGTCCCTTCTTTACCACTGATCGATTCTTTGGTTCATTCGTTGGCTCCATGCTATGCCTCACACTGTTCACACACTTGGGATGAAAACGTGGCTCAGATGCTGTCTCTGTGTCTGCAGATCTCATGGTCAGTGGAGCAAACAGGTGGGTGACTAGACTATTCTGCTGGCAGAGTAAAGTGCTGGGGCTGCCTGTGAGGGCCCCAGGAGGAGGTAACCTTGAGGCTGTGACAGGAGGCGGCGTCGATTTCCAGGCAGAGGGAAAGCACGCGTGCGAGACCCTAGCACAGTTCAGAACAGGGAGAGGCTGGTGCGGCCCGGGGAGGCACGAGCCTACGGCAGCAGATGAGGCCGGTGCGGGGTGGGGCTGACACTGAAGGCACCTGCCTGCCGTGCTGGGAGCAGGGGTGTACAGGGATTTTACTTCGGGGTGACAGGAAGCTAGAAGGAGTGTTTGATGGGGGTGGGCATGGCCAGATTTCATTAGCTGAGGCCCAGAAAATGAAGTCTAGGGTCTTGGCCGTGGCCGTGTCTGAGGCTGCCATCGATGACGAGACAGTTCAAGCAGGAGAGAGGATTTAGAACAGCACCGAGGATGGACACTCAGGAACGCCGGGTTTAGGGGACAGGCGGAGGAGAGAGAGGCAGTGGAGACTGAAGGCAGCGCCAGAGGATCTGGAGTGGGGATAGAGAATGAAGTCACAGAACCTAAGGGAGGAGAGTTTCAAGAGGATGAGATTTGACAGAGTAAAATGCAATGTGGAGGCCAAGTTGAAGCATCAATATAAACAGGAAGCGAAATCTGATTTTTGAACATGAACACAGCAGGAGCTCATGTAGAGACATGAGGTCAGAGGGCAAAGTGCACCGGATTCTAAAGTGAAATGGGATAGGGGAGCCCGCACGGGCGTAACCCTTTTGGAAGAAATCTGACCAACAGCATGAGGAGGTTTTAAGAAATGGCCGGGTTAACGTTGTTTTGCTATTGGTTGGCAAAGGGAAGGAGGACAACACTTTTTGCACATATTACGTGTCAGCTCTGTATGGGTGGCGATACTTACACGGTCTAATTTTAACTCTGAAAACACCCCCGAGGTAGCTGTTAGCTACATAAATGGAGAATCAGAGGCTCAGAGAGGTCGGTCGAGTAACGTGTCTGAGGCCCTGGGAATTTGTAAGTGGCAGATTACAGCCAGGAATTCAGACCTGTCCTTTTCTCTATACGTGTGCTGAGTTTATCTGCGATGATTTGTAGATGAAAGAGAAGAAGGTGGTGAAAGCTGACAGACCTAGGAGGAGGATGGCCAGATATTTATTATCCTAGCCCGAAAACCTTTGAGAGGGAAAGGGGCATTATTAATAATTCCCGCAGGACAGCAGGGGTAAAGCAGACTGCGAGGCAGGTCGGGCCTCTGACCTAGGATACAAGGGGTCCACAGAGCTGTGACCTCTTCAGCAACCTCCACCACTGCCAAGCACAACTGCGTAGGATACGCTAGCTTCATTTATAAAGACCTAGCTATACGACGTGAGCCCGGAGCCTCGCAGTAACTGAGGCAGACTTTATTTTTATGTCCACTTCATGAGAGGGGCATTGAGGATTAGAAAGACTGGGTGACGTGCCCAAGGCCCAGGGCTGGTAAAGAGCAGATGTGAGACCTGAAAACCAGATTTTCTCATTCCACTATGACTTATTACCTGAGGCGATAGTACATTTTTTTCTCAATTAAAAATATTAGTAGTCTGTTGCTCTTTGTAAAATAGCATCAATTAAGTATAAAAGAAAGCAAACCATTAAAAAAAATGAAGGAATGATTTTTTTAAAATAAAAAATCACCTACAGCTGAATATTTTATTTTTTGAATGTGACCTTGGGACCTAGAGTAAATTACTTACATAACTATCACAGGTCATTCAGGGGATGCTCAAGTAGAGTTTAAGCCTCCATAGATGACCCTGCAGCTGAATATTTTAGAGTCTGGATGGCTACTTTTAGGGAAAAGGGCTTGTAAGTCATTGTCACGTTAAGGGCATTGCCAGGCTGTGCCAGGAGCTCTCCCCGAGGCCGTCAGCTGTGCTCCCCCACAGGCTTGGTCACAATGACCACTGCTCACCGTGAGTTCACGTACAGGGATCTGTTAGCAACACGGCCTCACACATTTGGACCGCTGTTCTGATGGACCCCACGACATCCGAGTCTGTAGCATTTCAGCAAATAAGGTACGTCTCCCAGACCCTCACACTCAGAAGCACAGAAGGCTCTTAGCCAGCCAGGCATCTTGAGGTTCGATCAGGACTTAAAAATGTGTATAGAGGTTTGTGGCCTCCTAGAGATGATTATTCTTATATGATGGCAGAAAGCTGTCCTCAAAGAGAGACCACTGGTAAACTAACCCACTGTCATTTTGGGGAGGTGGGACTTTAAATGATTGAATAGTCATAATTCAACAAGCATTCACTTTTCCTGGAAGATAATCCCCAAATCACCAAATCCAAATTAATAAAGTTTAAAACACACACACACACACACACACACACACACACACACACACACACACACACACACACTAAATATTTGACTTAAAATTCCTTTGTATTTCATGTGGTATTTCTGGTAGGATAATTACTGTTATTGTTTCACCTTAAGCGCTATAAAGTCACACAGATCCAGACAAAAATCAATAGGCAATAGACACAAATTGCAAAAGAGAAACCCAGCTTCAGACCTAAGACACGTAAACCCGCAGATGAGATTAGCAATCTTTCTTCCTTTGTACCATTAAAAGTAAATGGCCTGACGTATCTTTTACTATTTAATCTTCAGGGGAATTTCAAAATTCATTGGACTAAGACTTTAAAATACCAAACCACAGCACATTTTACAGTGCATCTCTTTCAAGAGATGAGACAACGGAGCACCTAGAGCACTGGACTTTGCAATGCCTGAGAATTCGATAAATGTCTTCAATTGTTTTCTTGCGGCTTGTTCATACCTGAGCCTCTTTTTAACCTTCTTCTGGCCAGTTTAATTTGATCCTGCAGAATCTGTACCCAGTCTCTTGGGCCAGGAAGTTTATCCACATGGTTAGCAGTACAGTACTTTTCTGTGAAGACTGAAAGAAAATGTGAAATGTTAAGTGCTTTAACAAATAAAATAGGTTACGCAGACACAGGTCTATATCACAAGAAGAAAAGTATAATGCTCAAAGATATCAATTCTGCAGCAGATAGCTTCAATATTCATGTTACATTCCTTTGGTGAAGGTGGAGATTGGCAGGGCCCTGGCTACCGTGCTTCCAAATGAAACCAGCTATCGATAGTTAGTAGTTTTTACCGAAAGTGCCTCTTCTGCTTGCTCCATGTCCACGTGTATGAGACCGATGGGCAGAGAAGAGAATGCTTCCTACGGGTCCACTGGCCCCCTGACAAAATTCAGCATATGTGTTAAAGTGTTTCATGTTTTTGTTGTTAATTCAAAATCTAATGTGAAAGTGTACGGAAAGATCACGTCCTAACTCAGTCAGCATAAATAGAATGAGGTTGTGTCTTAGTGAAAATTACACTTCTACGTTGAGTCGACCTCTTGCATATTGTATTGGGTCCTGGACAAGAGCTACCTGTTAAGCACGAAAGAAACTATGGAGTCACATGACAGGACGCAAGGGAGGCTGGACAGTTACACGGCAGCGCAGGGCGTGAACGCACACACAGGTGCTGGCGTTCCTGCCCCACGCGCCACTCCGGAGCACTTTTAAACTCGGCCTCCTGTGACTTGCTCTCCGTAAGGTCAAGGCCAAGTATGCAGTCACATCACCACACAATGGTATTGGTAAATGTAATGTTTTAAGACTTCCTTTAAAAAGAAATGACAAAGGAAAATGTTGACAGGTTCAGCTGTGTAAAACTGTAAAACTTCTACTGAATGAGAAGTAAACATTTCATCGGAAGGAGAAAAGCTGACTGCACTAACTGTGACCGAAAAGGTTCAGTGTCTACCACCATATACAGAGCTCATGCAAGTAAAAGAGCAATTTCAAAAGTCTCTACAGATAACAAAGTGTATTTAGCAAAAAAAAATTAGGAAAAATGTTCAACGAAGCCCCCAAATTGCAAAACACACTTTATACCTACTAAATTAGAAACACAAAGTTAACACGTTCATACTTAATATTGATAAAGTTGTGGGGACCTGGTACATCCAAATGTTGCTCTTGGCAGAAACTGGCAAAACCCTTTTGGGAGTTAAGATGGTCATAAGGACGGACTGGCGTGAAACGGTCATACCTTTGGACTGGGAATCTTACTCCTAGAATTTATCCTGAGGAACTAACGTGAAGCGTAAACAGTGCAGGTGC